GTCAGCACTGGGGTCAGGCCCTCCTGTTCCTCTGTACTTCACCCTGGCTTCCCTATCCTTTCAAAACATGCTGGCAGGGGAGGCAGAGAAGTGCAAGCAGCTGTCTATTTGCCTGACAGTATATTGTGACACCGGACTACAAATACACTACGTGCTTGCGTTGTGATTTCCTGAGAGGAGATGATCAGAGTATTGATTTCCCCATTATGCATGCAGTTAAAGTGGAAAGTCTGTTCACGTAAGAACCTGAAATGACCGATGCTAGCTAGGTTTTGGAACACTGCCACCTGGGCTGCCATTCATCTGACTACATATTCATGTATTCACTCCACATAAACATCCACATTAAGGTTATTCACATTTTTTGGAAGATGTTTAAGATTAATATGAATTCAACCACCCAGAACAGATGCCTTATTTCCCCCCATCACTCAGCAGATCCCATTCTAGAAGTCCAGGCCTGCAGACGGTGGGAATCAGCCCCCCCCACCATGCTTTAATCAGGCTGCCTAACTGGGCAGATAGGAGTAAGCACACTGAGCAAATGCCCATATCCAAATCCCTTGTCATTCACTCTTGCTCCTTCTCAACAACTGTCACTATAGCCCTTGCAAAAAGGCCTCTAAAACAATCAGTCTTCATGATGTATAAAACTTTTATGAAGCATGAGACCAACCAGAGATTCTCTGTAGATCAAATAAATAAATTAATTAGTAGTGGCTTCCCATCAGATAGCACTTGAAGTAAGGGCACAAATTTCATCTTAGACCTGTGAAAGACACTGCACTTGGTACCTTTTCTTTCTATTGTATGCATTTCAACCCAGGTACATTCCTGGAAAGGCTCAATCATTCACTGCAGGAAAGGAGTGGATTAGGAGATAAGAGACAGATGAGAAAGGACAGAGTTGGAGAACATCTAAGCTATGCACTCTGAAAGGAATAAACTTGGACAACAGCTGAGAGCACTGCCAGAAGTTTCACTCAGCAACGTCCTTGAGGACATCAAGAATGTCCCATGCTACAGGGCAGAGCCAGACACAGATTTAGGCACTCGTACCTACGAGGCAGCCAACACTCCTGTCAGTAACAGGGGCAAGATCTGGTCTGCAGGGGATGTAGGAGGCAGCTGTGCCTGCTGGTTCAGGCAAAGAAGCTTGAAAGAGATGCTTAGGGAGAAACATCCTGGTACTGCAGACATATTAGAAAATGATCATCAGCTCTCTTTATGTGGATTAATGAAGCTGTACTGAGTAGGAAACTCCAGCACTGAATGGAAGAACTGAAGAATTTTCTAGCAAAATAAGGTAAAATGGTGATGGTATGATACTTACACCATGCACCTCCCTCCTCATCACCTTGAATGCTTACTCTGTAGAGATTGACTCTTACATCCACAACCAGCTGGTGCTGCGTAACTGCCTGTTTTAGTACAGATTGTACCAGAATCCATGTTAGAAACAGCACATGGTGAGGAGAACGAAAACTGAAAACAAAAGCACAGGGTGCTAATTGGCAAAAGCAGCCGTTGGTATTTTCATGGTATCACAGAATCTGACGTTTCCTATTTTTACTGGAAAGTGGATCCAGTTGGATTGCTGCATAAAGCACAAACCCAAAAGACATTGCATGCCATACACTCCCCGGCTCACAGAAATGTGGTGAGACCTAACAAAGCGTGTTTGGAGGAAAGCTGTGACAAGCACAGGGATGCTTTGTGAGCAGTAAGCAATGCTTCCAAGTGGATTCAGCCCCTTCTTGTTTATGTCTGGAAGACAAATGAAGTTATCAGAAATACATTAATCTTCAGTCACAGAAATACAGAAGTCTAATTGACCCTATGGCATTAAACAGAGTACCTGGGGCAACTTCTACTCTCTTCAATTCTTTCAAAGCTCCAAAAATTTTTTGCTGCATGTCAGTTTAGTACAATGAACGTAATTGCTGCCTGTTCCACAAGCCTGTCGAATTTTTAGTATACTATGCAATCTGTCCTTGCAAATCTCCCTGTGACTTCCAGGCATTGGCTAACCATCAGGGACTTGAAGAGAAAGCACTGGGTCACTGCGTGACTCTCTGTGGGACTGTAACCAAAATTTGGGCAGCTTTTTCTGAATCCCCAGTTTTCTGCAGGCTGAGCAGATCCAAATTTTTCAATTGCAAGGTGCACTCTGTGCTTATTGAAACCTAAGTGGACCTGCAGAGATGAGCTGGAAATATTTCGCACTCTGGGTATCTGCAAAATGGTGACCACTTGTTTCAGCTCTACTAAGGCTGACATTAAAAGGAGGTCCCTCAGCTAGTCCCTCCTAGATGGGCATCTGCTCATGGTGCTTGATCAGTAAGAAAGATGGGAGACTATTCTGAAGTGCCTACATGGTGATATGTTATTATAAATAGTCCATTAGAGTCACATTAGAGTTGTTTCCCTTCATGGGCCTCAGCGTTGGGCAGGTTCCTTTATTCTTTGAACTAAAAAGGAGGGAATCTGACAGGATAACTACTTTGTTAAAAAATTGGATTCAGCCTTCAAAGTTCAAGTGACCCTACTCAGGTTAAGTTCAATGCAGCTTGGTTACCATTGAAGTACACCAGTTTAAATTCTTAGTCACAAGCCAGACTCCTAAACATTTGGACATTTAAATAAAGCTAACACAAAAAACTACCTGCTCATAGTGGATATATAAAAATCAGATCACCATGACTAGTAAATGATTTAATAATGAACAGAAGGGCTCGTTAAGACAAAAAAAAAAAAAAAAAAAAAAAAAAAAAAAAAAGTAACACAGTTCCCAGAAGCAACAGAAGAAACACTGACATTTTAAGTAATGTGACAGAGAGATTTTAAGAAATCTCTAGTCATGCTACTCAAGGGGCTGAAACCTAATAAGGACTAATTAAGACTTCACCTAATTGCCTGCAACAACTCAGTGTACGTAGTGAATTTTGCATCTACTAACAATTAGAAGGGAAAATCTAAAGAATTACTTGGGGAAAAAGTCGCCCTACTACCCTACCCATTAGGATACTGACAAGGAGAGGTAGAATTGAACATAGTCACAAAAGATGAGAAATTTGTTGGAGAACATGTCTAGAAAAAGCAGTTGATAATTCTGCCATGTTTGCTAAAAGGCAATAGGTTGTTTGGAATTTAGAAACAGCAAGAAAAAGCACAAGAAGTTCCAACAGGTGAATTGTGTATTCTCTGACCTCCACAAAAATATGCAACACGGGGAGCCTATTATCTGAATTTTATTATTATAAAATAAATATTATCTGAAAAGTGCTGAACATAGTGCAATCTGAAGGTGCAGAAACCAGCAGAACTTGTCTGAAAGATCTGATTCTTACAACAACTTCTGCAGAGTGATAAACAAAGTCAATGGACTATAGTAGGAATAGATGGTAGGGTCATAACTGCAAGGTAGGGCTAGGAATGGGATCAAAGAGATGGGAATATTGAGAGAAAGTTGAATGACTTGGGAATGCCAAGGGAAACAGAGGTAACACTAAGTGATGTTTTGTTCTGAATAAATGCATTAAATAGTCTGCTGTATACAGATGCAGTTTACCTTGAAAACGTTACGCATGCTCCACATAGGTAGGAAAGAACAGAACAGAAATGTATGGACAAAATTTGGTTGTTACACAGGATCTGAAAATCACAACCTCCACAGTAATATTGTCTAAAATATTCCTGGCAACACTGAGAGAAGCGGAGGTTCAGAGCATGATTCAAGAAATGGCATAAGAAAAAGCATTCTTTGTGGCCCAGGAAACTTTGAAATAAATACTATAGGAAGAACAGGCATGAGCAAAATCAAAGGGGTGAGAAATTGCTGATATTTGAAAGTTAAATTCAAATAAAATATTTTAGTTTCTGCTAAGCCCCAAAGATTTAAGATTTATTTTTGTCCTGAAGTTGCAAACGAACCTTCTAAGACCTTGGCAAACTGTTAATCCTTCCATACTACCATGCTGCAGCGAGATTACCAGAAATACATATAATTGCTCTCATGTGAACATGACTCCTGATTTTTAAGTTTTCCCCCACTTCTACCAGCTTCCCTCACTTTAATCACAGTGATTTTCTTAGGCAGTTATACTCCTGCCCAGTAGATTTACCCTGGTCTTATAAGACCAAGATTCTCAATGAACCCTATAGCACGTACACATAGACACAATAGCGCTGCTTGCTTTTTCCTTTTCTTCAGTTTCCCCACTCGGTTTTGAAGCACCCTTCAAGATGAGGAGCCCTGTCCCAACCAGCAACACCCACCATATCATAACTGTTCAGAATACAGACCAGCTACGTGTATAAATCGTAGAATCATAGAATGGTTCGGGTTGGAAGGGACCTTAAAGACTCTGACTCCCCACCATAGACAGGGATGCCTTCCACTAGATCAGGCTGGCCAAGGTCCCATCCAGCCTGGCCTTGAACACCTCCAGGGTGGGGCAAATCTGCCTTTAAACCAGAAAGAAGAGAAAGCAGTGGTTGCTGTACCCATTATTTTCACAATAACAATTATCAGCAGCTTTTACCACTGCCTCAAGAAAGTTCAAGTGAAAGGAGTTGAAGTAAAAAGAGCAGTTTCCCTCCTGAAGACCCCAGAGCTTCCCTAACAGCCCTTTTGCCCCAGACAGTGGCTCTGAACAAAAGCCTCACCATAGGGCCCTATGAGGAGAGCTGGGGGTCAGCTCCTTCTCACAGATAAAAGCGACAGGACCAGAAGGAATGGCCTCCAGTTGAGCCAGGAGAGGTTTGAGGTTGAAAACGAGGAGACATTTCTTCCCAAAAAGAGCAGTTGGGCACTGGGACGGGTTGCCCAGGGAGGTGGTGGCGTCACTGCCCCTGGGGGTGTTTAGGGAAAGGCTGAACGTGGTGCTTATGGACACGATTTAGTGGGTGACACTGGTGGTGGTGGAATGGTTGGACCAGTTGATTTTGGTGCTTTTACAACCTCTGACGGCCCGCCCCGCCGCAGCCGCTGCCCCGCCGCATGCGCGGAGGCTCGGTCCCGCCCGCCCGCTTCCGCTCCTCGCCGGCTGCCTCCGGGTCGCGGCCGGCCTGCGGAGGGGCGGCGGTGGCGGCGGCTCCATCGCCCTTCTCCCGCTGCCGCTCGGCACCGCTGAGGCCTCTCCCGGGGGTGAGCGGCGCCGGGGCAGGGGCGCATTTGGTGGTGCGGGGGGAGGATTGGGCCCGGGCTGCGGTGGAGGCGGTCGGTGGGGCCGTAGGTGTGTCTGTAGGTCTGTCTGTCCCGCGGGGGCCCGCCTGAAGCGCCGTTCTGGGGCCGCCCTTCTCCTGTTTAACATCGCCGCGTCCCGCTAAAGCTTTGGCCTGCAGCCCTAGAGTTGCGGGGTCTCAGTTTACTGGGTGTCCTCCTGGAGGAGGCGGTGTTTGGGTTTTTCGGTACCTGTACGGTAGCGTTTCCCATGCAAAGGTGAGTTTGGTTTGTTATGATTTTACGCCAGCAAGAGATGCTGTGCCTCCCTGCCTTTTATGAGAGCAGCAGGTACTGCCCTGCTAAGCGCTACGGTACCTTAATGCGTGTGTCTTCTGAAACTGGTCTCCAATCTCCAGTTAGCTACAAGTAGCAGTGTTAATTGTGGCTTGGCACCTAGGAGGCCTCAGGCTCCTGGCAGTGCTGTGGGGTTTGTGCTGATACCAAGCACGCTGTGGTCTGCAGAGAAAGAAGAGTTGGTTTTGACATTCTTGGCACTCAACTGGTAACAGGAACCAAGGTTTAATCTCAGCGTTTGTGTTTCTTTGCTTTATATTTCAAGCAGAATATATTCCTTTTTTTCTCGTAAAAGTGAGAAGACTGAAATTCAAAATGACTTGCTCCCATTTTGTTTGAACTTTTCTTTATGAGTTCCTTTAAATTAGTGTGCAACTTCTAATGCATCTTTTTGACTGGAATGTGTCACTTGTAGCTTGTTTTTTGAATGTCTGGCAGTCCAGTTTGAACTAGAACTGCAAGACTACAGTACACTGCTGTAGCCAAAACACCATTTCTATTTAATTAGTACTATACCTTGTCATTATAAAAAAGGACTTTTACCTGTCTCTTGTCCAGGAGTTTTACAGCTATTGATGTGGTGCTTATTTTTAAAACTTTATTTTCTCTAGGTTTAAGTTCATTTTTACCGTACAAGCTCCTCGCTGCCATAATGAGGCTAGTCATTCTTGAAGATTACGATCAGGCAAGTGAATGGGCAGCAAAATACATCTGCAATCGTATTATCCAATTCAAGCCCAGTCAAGGAAGATATTTCACGCTTGGTCTACCAACAGGCAAGTCTTATTCAAAGCCTATGTAATTGACTACACTTAGAACTGTATTTACATCACTGCTAAAAGATACTGTATTTAAAAGAACACAAACGTACTTCTGATAATGCTTCAACATGTTTTTCTATTTTAATAGGGATTTGGTTCTGTGTAAAAAAAGTGGTGAAAAGGTTTGAGAAACTGATAAATTGTAGATGAGAAATAACAGAGTTCTTTTAATTATGTTGAAGAGCATCATAGCAAAATGTGACTATAATGATACTTAAATAGACAAAGTGTATGGATATATAGAACAGTGGAAAAACTTTGTTTAACAGGGAGTACACCCCTGGGATGCTACAAAAAGCTGATAGAATATCACAAGAATGGAGATCTTTCTTTCAAATATGTAAAGACGTTCAACATGGACGAATATGTAGGTAAGCTCTAGTGCTAATTATTTTAGAAGACAGTATGCAATTGTTTTTTTTTTTCCTTTATTAACAGTTGTACACTTCCACAAAGCACAAGACTAGCATTTTATTTTTATGCTTCTCCATTAAACCTGGGGACATCTGAAGCATTTGATCTGTTTATATACCAAAATGCAAACAAGTAACTAGTCCACGTGGATCCTGGCCTAAATTAAGTAATCACAAATCACTTCCTTCCTACAGAAAGTGTTGTTCCATAGCTTTATTACATTTGTTTTGAAGACTTAGTACTCTTAGTGATTTGATATATACCAAGTAAAAGTAAACAAATTGTCTCTCTCATTTATATCAACAGGAAGTCTATCTTAGTATAATTTCAAATACTTCTTTGTCTCATTTCTTACTGCTCAAGAAAGCCTTGTCTTGCATGCCCCATATTGGCTACACATAGGCTAGAATTAAGGCTAATTGCTGAAGTCTTGCAATACATTAATTTGATTTTAAATGATTTCAGGGCTTCCCAGAAATCATCCAGAGAGCTATCATTCGTATATGTGGAATAACTTCTTTAAGCATATTGACATAGACCCAAATAATGCTCATATCCTTGATGGGAATGCTCCAGACTTACAGGCAGAATGTGATGCATTTGAAAAGAAAATTGAAGAAGCAGGGGGGATCGATCTGTTTGTTGGAGGTATGAGGAAATGCTCTGTGGTTAGTTATGGTTTAAATAAATATATTGACTCTTTAGACGTGATCTTCAGAACATAGCTAAAACTACTTCTTATTGTAGTGTAAGAAAATTCTGTGACTGACAAAGAATTGGTATAGATACCAAAACAGAATGCTTGGTGTCCAGTTTTCTAATGATAACGTAGTTTAAGTAAGTTTTGAACGCTTTTTTTTTTTTTAATTGAAAATGAGAAAGCAAAACAAAAGAATGAACCCTAAAACCTTTTTATTCTTTCACAATGTTTGAGAATATTTGTTGACTCGCAGGTCTGGAATGATTTGCTCTCTTTAACTTTGAAAAGGCATTGGTCCAGATGGCCACATTGCATTCAATGAACCCGGATCAAGTTTGTCTTCAAGAACAAGATTAAAGACTTTAGCAATGGACACCATTTTGGCAAATGCTAAGTACTTTGATGGAGACTTATCTAAAGTACCAACTATGGCGCTAACAGTTGGTGTGGGTACAGTGATGGATGCTAGAGAAGTAAGAATTCATTTAGTTCTAGTTGCATGTATCTGTTTTCAAGACTTGTTTGTGTTGATATGAGGACTGAAAGTAGAGACCTTTGTTTTGCAGGTGATGATTCTTATAACAGGTGCACATAAGGCTTTTGCATTGTACAAAGCGATTGAAGAAGGTGTTAATCACATGTGGACAGTTTCTGCTTTCCAGCAGCACCCTCGTACTATCTTTGTGTGTGATGAAGATGCTACTTTAGAACTAAGAGTTAAAACTGTGAAGTACTTTAAAGGTGAGCACTGAATCAGAAGTTACCTATATTAAAATTAAGTAAGTCTAGCTACCATAATGTGTCAGAAGGCCCAACGTATAATGTTACTTATTCAAAATACTAAATGTTAACTTATGTCTTGTGAGTGGAAAAGCACTAGGAGATGTGACTTATGTTACTTCCATCTGAAAGGACAGTTGCTTGATACATTCTTGACAAATCTCCTTTGAATAGAATATTTCCTTTGCTTCCTATTGGACATGATAATATATAAACTTCAGCGTATAAGATATAAGACATACATAAGACAGCAGCTGTCTGGTATTCCAGAATACTGATTTTAAATAGAAAGTGGAAAAGTTTCATTTGCGTTGTTTTCTTTTAAGCCTGATAAATTTTATACTGCTTTTTTATGATGTCTTTCTGTGGTGTCTTAAGTGTCTTTTAAGTGCTATCTAGTAAACTTCAGATGTGTGATATGGGGTTTGAAGTCAACTGAGGATGTTTTTCATACAGTGCAAGTTGCATAACAGTCTATATTGATTGTTAATGCATTGCACTTACTGTGATCTTTATATCTGTAGTAAGTATATTGAGGCAGGCTTAAAGTTTGGATTTTTGATATTAACATCCATGAATATGGTTACTTCAGTTTAACTGAGTCTGTAGAAGCTGAGAAAAATAGTTTTCTCCTAACTATATTAGCACAGCAAATTGTGATTGTATATGTCAGTCATCTTACTGGAATGGTTATTCGTAGTAGCTGAGGCATCTGACGTCAAAGCTGTCATTGATGACCTTTTTTTTTGAGCATTTTATCACTACTGTCCTTAGGTGCATTAGATTATAAAATCTGGCTTTACTGTGGTTTGATCCTGATACCATTTGTAGCTAACTCTAACTTTGAATTTCTCAGTATATTGCTATTTGCTATGTATTTGTGAGAGGAGTAGTCTTCCCCTGTGTCACACTGCTAGATAGTACTTAATGTTTTCAAAGATAAACCTCCTTAACTGCTTGGGTGAATTTTAAACATTATCCAGTGTTCATATAAACAAAAGCTTTGCTTGAGAAAGATATAAACTTACTAACGTACAATTATTGATGAATGATGCTGATATTAAACATCGCTTTAAAAAAAAAAAAGGGCTACAGTATGTGAATGTGCTGTTGTGTCACAACATATAATTACTCTGTAAGCACATACAAAGTGACAAAATTCTTATTGTTTTGACTGGCTTAATTTTTCCTGTTCATAAATCAGTCAGGTTTTCTTGCTTTAAGGTAGAGGACAAATCAAACCTGGAATTATTTCTGAATCTTGATCTCCAGGTTGGACAGATCTTTGTTTTAAGAAAGCTGGGTAGTTCTTGATGACTGACTGCTAGTCATGGTAGCTATTTACTGCAATTTTTTACTATTTAAAAAAATCTCAAGGTACTATGTGAAACTTCAAATTCTTTCTGATAATAAATCACCACCCTGGCTGGTAACTAGAATAGCTCCCCTTCACTGTTTTTTTTTAACTTGTTGAAACTGTTAGAAGCTAAAGTTATCAAGGATATTAAATGTTCTTATTGAAAGGGGGAAAAGTAACCTTCTTTACCTTTCCCTTAATTTACTTTCTTGCAGAAGGAAGCAGAAAATAAACTTTGAATTTACTAATCAATCTGAAGAAAAGTTAATTCAGGATAGCTTTTCTGTACTTGTATATGCTCCTAAATTTCTGTGTAATATTTTAACTTGATCTGGGTTGAGTAGGCAGCAAGACTGTTCATTTGAAATAATTGCTTTGGTATCAAGTAAGGGACTCTGGTACATACCTCTGTTTAAAAAAAAAAAACAACTTTTGTTTCTAACTGTACTTCCTGAAACACATCAACTAACAGGATTTAAATATATTTCATTACATATGGAAGTGGCAGTACTTTGTAGGCATTTTTCATGCCTTCAGGAAGTGGGTAATTCTTTTCTCTTTTTTTAGAAAAGAAAAACACTGGTTGGAAGTGCTGTGCTTTTAAAGTTCAAAACATGGTTCCAGATTGAGTAATGTGTGAAGCTGTTACTGCTCTTTCAGTACAAATCCCTTTTGTATCAAATTTGCACTTAACGTTTTCCCACTTACTGTCAAACTCCTAGAAAACTTTAATGACTTGATCTTTCCTATGTATGTCAGACAAATAGTTATCCTTCATGAAATTTAAGAAACTCTTCCTTTGCACCTTAGTTATGTTGATTTCCAAGGGTTGTGGTATTTTGTCTTGTTTTGTTTTAGCACAAAGATCTGCAGCTAAGTCAGTCATTACTTCCAGAGACAAAAATGACCTGGGGTTTTTTAGTCTGTTCTAGGTGTGTTGGCTTTTTAGTATGATTGAATGTGTCACTTCATAGAAAAAGGAATAGTAGATTTGAATTTTATTTTAATTAACCACAAAAATTAGAAATAGATGCTGCATAAAATGGTTTTTGCTGTGGTCACCTAAAGTAATGAGCTCAGACTGTACAGTTATTCAAGCTTTGCTGCAGTGATGGAAAGTTTGCCACAGGATACATGATATAGCAAAGGTATTGGTATATTCTTTGCCACTGATGATCACTCAAATGTGCACTTACTGTCAGACTTCTTCCATGGTTTTTAAGAAAATCTCTACTTTTAATGTTGCATATTACTTAAATTTATAGTTTTAGAAGTTAATCTTTAGTTTGGTGCTAAACTGGACTCTTTGCAAAATGTGAATGTTGTACATTCACCTTACTAGTTTGTAAGGTGAAATAAAGTTTAAAAACATACTAGTGACTGAATAGCATGTATTGGTTAACACTTGGTAGGTAACGCTTCTACTGAGTTATAACCAAATAACGTAAACCACTTTTTTTTTCTTGTTAAATTGTTCTATTTTTCCCATCACTCTCCAATATTTTCTGAATAGAAAATAAAAGCAGTATTCCAAGTCACAACTGTGGATAATTTGTATATGACCAGAAAAAGAATAGGAACTAGTCAAGTTCTAAATCAAGTTCCCAGTTGAACTACTCAAGTTCTAAATTTGCATTAATAGTCTGTTTGATTTTTGCCTGTCTAGGACCAGATATACATGATTACTTACAAAGATACCACAATGCTAGACTGTTGCAACTCGAGCTGTAAAAGTATTAGTATGTATACATCTAATTTTTATGACAAAATGTGATATAAAGAATTTTATGTTGCTATTATAGTTTTTAATACAAAAGAGTGATGGGTGGATCTCTCATCATGTGTTCAATTGATTTGGAAGTATTCCAGATCTTTTTGACGGGTTTGTTGTCATAGCTGTCTTGTCCCTGTTCAGTTTATACTGAAGATGTCAATAGTATTTAAGTGAGATATATATATATACACACACACATGCACATATATGCATGCTGTCTTAACTTATTTACTTATGATTTTAACCTACCTTGAATAGCCATTCTTTTTTCAGTGAACTGTTTAAAATGTATAATTTGAAGTAAAGCCCAAATAAAAATGTGGATAGAGAGACATGTTGAAAAAGTATAACAATTGTAAAGCTGGCATTGTTGCTTTCCCCCCAAGGTTTAATGCATGTGCACAATAAACTTGTGGACCCACTGTACAGTATGAAAGAAAACTGAAAGAAGAATTGAAGAAGAACTCCATGTGGGTCAACAGCAACAGTTTTAGGTAGCAGATGAGTTCACTGCTATGCAATATGTTGAAAACTGTTTAAAATGGGGAATCCATGTACTGTATTTTTTAAAAGGTCCAATATCTGTACATTCACATTCCATCTCTATTTGCTATGTCATGCATTTTGCTTTAACATTTGGAACTCCGTTGTTGGCTGTTACAATAACTAAATGGAACAGAACAAACCTGTGGGAGACTGCATGTTACATTTGGGGGTGGGGGTGTGGGGGGGCGCAGAGCACTTATTTTAGCACAGCAATGTAATGCATCTGTTAGAGAAAATACTTTATTTCTAAGAATTTGTAACTTTGGCTCCATTAGTGCAACTACACTTTGCATTTGTGTTTATAGGCAGAATGGTTTTGGCCTTTGTTAAATACTATGGACTTGTAATAGCTGTACAATTTCTACTATGAAATGTTTTGTTTACATGTATCTAATGCACACTGAGCTTTTGCACTTGGTTGCCTTAAATTTATCTTATACAAACAGTTTTGGGGCATCTCAAGTCCTGCTGTACAATTCAGGCAAATAAAAAAAAACAGTGCCTATAAATGCACCCAATTGTTGAAAGTGTCATAGCTTATTCCAGTTTCAAACATTAAACTTCTGTCATAGCACTTTCTCCTCTCACGTATTTCAACTTAACGTAGGATTTTTCAATTTTTCATAATTGAGCTTTATCCATAAGGAAAAATCTAAGTGTTCCTTTCTGGAGGTACATGTTTAACCGTATCAGCTGTTACCATTAACTGCCTGCAAAGAGGTTAATTTCTAGGAACATAATGTCTACTAGTTTAAATTATCATGTATTAAAATCATTGTTAACCACTGTAATAATTACCTCTCATTGTATCACTATAAATATTGAACTGCTACAAGGAATGTTATTTCCTACTTTGAAAAAGTAAAATGTAAATATAAAGCTATCATTTCCAAATTGTTTTGTTTCTAATGTAAATTCTGAAGTGTGCAAGTACTTCAAGCTTTAATGGAGAGGTTAAGTATATATCTCCTTCCACGTAAGAAAGAGGTTAAGAACTTAATGTAGTTTCTTTTTTTGGTCATTTGTTTTGGATCCCCAGTGGTAGATAAATATATTTAGATGAACAAGAAAATTCTTGAAGTTCACGATTTTGGTTGTTGTTCTGCGTCCTGCTGCCAGTTTTGTGCTTAATGTAAAAAAAAGAAATAAGAAAAGGTGATGCCCTACAACATACTTACTGAAGAGCAAAATCTTTCTTAATTACTAACAAACTTCCTTTAAACGGATCTTAAGCTATCGAATACATTTTCAGCTTTAACTGTGAAACAGACTTTACCACTGTCAAAAAGTTAAATGAAATATTTGTTTAAGATAGGTATATGCTTATACCATGTAGGTATATATTTAATACCAAGTAAATATGAAATTAGTGGTTTGACCAGGTTTCTACTTGAATTCTTTTTTTGGTGTATTGTGTGCGTATGTAAAACTCAACTTTGGTTTGTACTGAACACTTGTTTTGGAACAGTTAGTTCCTCAATAGAGGTCAAGTGTGAGTGGAAATTTATTTTTATCGCAGCCCATCAATCCCTCTGCAGAGCTTTTTTCCCCTCAAACACTTCTGCAACCTTACTACGGCTGTACTTAATCCCTTCATGTACCTCATTGATAAAGACATTAAACAACACTGGCTTGAGGAATAAGATCCTAGAAGAAGGACCCCTTGTAACCAGCTGCCAACCAGATTTAATTCCATGACCTTTTGGGCACAACCACCAGCCACATTTTTACCTACCGAAAAAGTACACCCACACCCTGAGCAGCCATGTTCTCTTGGAGAAGGCTGTGGGAAACAGTACCAGTAAAAAACATCCACAGCCTGTTCCTGATCCACCAAAGAGGTTATTCTGTCATAGATTATCAGGTTGGTCAGGTAGGACCTGTCTTTCAGAAACCCCTTTGGACTGGCATGTCCAATACATGCTATATATATAGAAGGTAAAACAAATTAAGTAAGCTATGGAATTCTAGATAGAGAATTCCACAACCCCACTTCAGTCCTGAAGATCTATGAATGGAAAAGTCTTGAATCCTTTAGGAGGTGGGCAGGTAGCTGTGAACACTGTATAGAGCATGGTCATTAACTTGTGTCACTGATTGCTTGATGTACATTACCAAAAGCAACAGAAAAATAAATGCATTTAACTAGTTTTTATAAGTAAGAACTCAAACTTTAACACGAAGAACATAAATTGCATATTGACAGTGCACTGGCATTAATATTTTGTTAGGATATGTCCAGAAGTAAGTTGTTATAGCCTGAATCACTCATAGTTGTAGGAAAAAGCTAGGAGTATAGCTTTTCATGCTATGATTTCCTGAAAAGAGCAACTTCAGCAAATAAAAAAGGAAGTAATATTTTTGTGGCAACAACTGTTTTAATAAAGTGTTTGAAATAATTTAAAGGTAGGGATAATTTTCTGCCAGATTTTTCCTGTTCTGTCATACAAAGGCTTGCAAGTGTTAAGAATATCAAACTTGGGTGGTTATGATAACTTTTAAAACAATGATAACTTTTAAATTCAGTGAAGTAAAATGAAATAACTAACTTCATGATAATCTGCAACAGTCTGGATAAGTACAAAGCTTATATTCCCACGTATTTAATTTACATTTACATCATTTTAAGAAAATTATAAATTAATCACTCTGTTATAAAGTATACATTAATTCAAGTATGCTACTGTCTGTAAGAAGATAATCAGCTGCATGGCAGTGATCTATTTGTCAGGCTGTCTCTTTAAAACACGTATAAAGGCATCTCTTGGTACTTCCACATTGCCAATTTTTCTCATCAACTTCTTCCCTTCTGCCTGCCGTTTTAAAAGCTTCATTCGTCTTGTAATGTCTCCACCATACTAAGAAAAGGAAAAATATTTTATTAAGCTTAAATGCAACTACAGTATACCACAGTAACACTAAACTCAAGGGCTTAACCAATACTCAGAAAGCCTTGTTATATTACAAAATCTTGTTTTATACTGCACAGTTATCACAAAAAACAACACTAGTTACAAAGAATAGGAGCACCTGAGCACTTTCATTTGGACAATTACAGGTAAATTCAGCTATATATATGTTTTTAATCACATAAGCCTGGCTGACATTACATACAACTTTGGTTGTACCTAATAAGGTATCCAGATATTTTTGGAACAGCAGTAGGATGCCAGCTCTAATACACTGGGTATCTTGACTACCACTTACATCTAGATAAATTGACTGAACCCTTAAACAATGTTAAACAAACACCATCCAACATCAGTTGTCAGAAGAACTCTTAACAGTTGTGAGAAAGGGACAGTCGCTTAATCTTTAACATGTTAGCTTGAGATCTGAGGACAAGATAATTGAGGCATCATGTTTGTTTCTTTCCCTATGGTTTTGTCCAGTCTTGTCAGCATTATGATTTCTTACTGAAAACCTACACAGAAGTTTTGTTGCAACCAGTCTCTAAGGAAGCACTTCATTATAATTACATTAATCATCTGAAAAAAACTAGTTAGGAAATGTGTGAAGTTACACATTATGTGTCTACTACTATTAGTAAGATGTTGAGGAGACAAGAGTGAACACAGACACTAGGAAACTTTGAAAAGGCCAATTACTCCTGATCCCCACTTTTACTGGAAGCAACTAGATGTTACACAAAGTTAGAAGTAAAATTTTAAAAAAGTGTCTGTCAATATTCTATTTGGAACGCAAGCAGAACATGTCTTTGTGGGGTTTTGTAAGGGAATATATAGCCCATCTTAGCAAGACTCTTGGGTTTACATATATTAGAAATAATAAAAAACAAAAATAAAAAACTTACACATTTTGCCACAACATTTTTCCTGTAAGCTTTCAGTCTGTAAAACAGAATACCATACATACATTAATAGAGTAGAGCATCTCCTGTAAAGCTGAAGAGTGAGTTGTCAAAATGCTGAGCATTGCTTTTTTGCTAGATTTTTAAAAAGCACCAGAACCATTTCCATATTTTGTATACAGAAGATGAAGCTTTAAACAAGATTTAAATTCACATTTCTCAATTTGAGACATTTTCCTTCAGGTACATAACATGTATGTAAAATTTTATTTGTGTTTATTTAGGACTTCTGCTATAACTCTTAACATTCAGGTTTCCTACATGCACATGTAGCACATGAATTCTTACAGCACCTCTGCTTGGATCCCCACTTTTAATTTTTTTTAAGCACAATTTAAATTTAATTTAGACATCAACAGCAAAAACATGACATGAAACAACAGTGAAGTAAACAGTTTGTTCTAAAAGTGAGTGCTGTTTAGAACTGTATGTGCTCAGCCTGCAAGACATTTCCTTTGCAATAGCACAGTTCAGTTCTTTATTTTGCTGACTCGGGCAGAAAAATCAATTATTCCAAAGGCAGATAATCTTTTTCAACACTCAATCTTTTTCCACTGCCAGAGAGGAAGTGGACACATGTGGCAAGTTATACTTTGGCCATTAAGTGCTGACCACAGGCAATTTAAAATAACATTGTATAAATTTAAATGAAAATATTTAAGTTCTTATTCATCGTGACAGCTCAAAAGTATGTTTTATTTTTTCCCAAGAGGTCTGGTAGCACATACAAAGAAAATACAATTCTACAGTAAAAAAAAAAAAAAAAAAAAAAGTATTTTAATATGTAAAACTAGGCAGGACAGTTCAAATTTTAAATAGCTTTAAAAAAAAGGAAAACAATGGTTTCACTTACGTTTCTCTTGCAATTATTTTCTTGCCAATAGCAGCCTGAATGGCTATTTCAAACAATTGTCTAGGTATAGCATCCTTTAAACGTTCGCACAGGAATTTACCAGTAGCGTAAGCTTTATCACTGAAGCAGAAAGTTTTCAGAAAGTCAGTAACTCCTCAAATATATCCATAGAACAAAGTGTTTGAGAAGAGTTATAACAAAGGCTTTCATTTTGTCTTCTAAGTTAAACTGACCAGATAACAAATTTACTTCTCATGAGTCGTCTCTGTATGTCACCAATTACAGAAGGCTTTCACATGTAAGTTTAAAATATTTGTAATAAATACCCCAATCATCTATCACACTGAAGCTGTACTGAAAAAATTCACAGCTTTAAACGCTATTTTGAACTAGAGGGGAATTTCAAGGGGAAATTTTATTTACTGTTTCTGTAATAAGTAGATCATTTGACCTTTCATACCTATATTTTAGAAATATTTTCTTATATTACAATGAAAGTTGAGTGGTGTTTTAACGTACTATAGCTACCTGCTAATCAAAGTTATCCAACCATATTTAGCTTATGCATATACATCAGATTTTGGGAAGAGAAAAGTGACAAGAAGTCTAGAGAATTACAAGACAGCATTTGAAGAAGGACAAAAAACAAGAAAGTTGATCACCATCCCTTTCCAATAATCCTGAGAAGTTACAGAAAGGAGAACTAACAAAGACATTGTGAGAAGAAAACAAAGGCTGGAAACAGAAAGGCATTATTTTCACCAGCAAGTAACTCACTCCTGAGACACTTATGTAAACTGAATCATTTTAGCAAGCATTTATCATGTATTAGTAATACATGTTTTCATTGTGTATTAATAAGAAGTCTTAGTTCTTTAGAATAGAGAATCCAGACAACCTACCAGTGTATGATAGTTGCCAGTTCTTCAACTGGATTTCCATTTAGAAGAATATCCATTTTGATAAGGTCTGCTGCCTGGTATCCTGCATCTTCATAATCAAAACTAAACAAAAAGTAGCTTAAACATTAGTGATGGTTTTGTAAAAAATAAATTCTGCATTCTTTGTTCAATAAATTTTAACTTTTATAAACAATTCTTAATGCAACACTTGAGCATAATGTTTAATAGTCTCACAGTAGGTCACTGTTATTCAAAAC